CCATCAACAGATGAATGGATAAAGAAGAAGTGGTATATATATATACAATGGAATACTATGCAGCCATCAAAAGAAATGAAATCTTGCCATTTGCGACGACGTGGATGGAACTAGAGGGTATCATGCTTAGCAGAATAAGTCAATCGGGGAAAGACAACTATCATATGATCTCCCTGATTTGAGGAAGTGGAGATGCAACATAGGGGGTTAGGGGGTAGGAGAACAACAAATGAAACAATATGGGATTGTGAGGGAGACAAGCCATAAGTGAGTCTTAATCTCACAAAACAAACTGAGGGTTGCTGGGTGGAGGGGGGTTGGGAGAGGGCGGTGGGGTTATGGATATTGGGGACGGTATGTGCTATGTTGAGTGCTGTGAAGTGTGTAAACCTGGCAATTGACAGACCTGTACCCCTGGGGATAAAAATATATGTTTATAAAAAATTAAAAAATTTTTTTTAAAAAGAAAAAAATAAATAAAGAAAAAGAGCATTTGATGTAATGAGCACTGGGTGTTATATGCAACTGATGAAGTGCTGAACTCTACTTTTGAAACTAATAATATACTATATGTTAATTAGTTGAATTTAAATAAAATTAAATTTTTAAAAATTAATAAATAAATAAAAATAAAAACTAAAAGCAGGCTTAATTAATCCTTGCCCTGCCCACCAGCTCTATTTATGCTTCATGACTTTGGCCAAGGGCTCAGATTTTGGAATTACACTTATCTCAACTAAAATCTCTCTTCTGTAATTTCCTACAACATTGTCTTCGGGCAAGACTTGACTTCTATGACCTTCAATTTCCTTGTTTGTTAATATAAATCAATTTCTTAAATGGTTTGTTATGATGACAAAAATGGGAGATAGGAGATGTGAAATGCCTGGCCCATGATAGGCAAGAAATAAAAAGGAAGTACCTTTCTGATTCTCTTTCCCTAATAGTGCTAACCTTCTCTATGTCTGCTGTTTGAGATCCCCTGATAGCACTGTGACTGGAGCTGGCCAATACAGTCTCCCCAAGGACCTTGAGCTAGTCTCACCACAGAGAATCCTTTTGGTCAGGGCAGGAACTGACCTTCCTTCCTCTCCAGCCCTCTAACCCAGAAGAGCCTTAAAATAAAATGTACAGGCTACTGGTTCCTTCCAGTATAGCAGGGCCATATGGGGGAAAATGAGTATCCCCAGCTGCCCTCTTCCAACCTAGCTAACCCTGGTAGCCAGGAGCTAAGAATAACCATTGGGCTTTTGGCACAACCTGCTTTATGGTTTCCAGATCTCCAAAGAGTTACCTATGATGCCATCTTCTGGAGCAGGCCTTTAAAAGCCCTCTTCCTGTGTATCTCTCACCCATACCCTTCTGCTGCCCATCCAGAGTCCAAAGACCCTTAAATCTTTGCAAGTTGATAATCTTTGTTTTCTAAATCCCCATTCCCTTTTCTGCCTCTGTGTAAGTAATGTGGCACTCCTTCTCAGCTTTCTGGCCCACTCTCATGTATCTCTTCTGAAGGCACCGTGGGACTCCCAAAATGGGTAGGGTCCTAGACCCATCGAGCCCCAGAGCTCCTGAAACAACAGTGCCCTCCCTTCCTCTTATAGGAACCTCTATGTTAAAGCTCTAGAAACATCTGAACCAATGTTTCTCAACAGAGATGCTGGTGACATTTTCAGAGGAATAATTTTTCATTGTATAGGATGTTCTTGTATATTGAATTATGTTTATGTTTAACATGCCTGCACCTGCCTACTAAATACCAATAAGATCTCTGTCTCTGTAATAGGCCAAACTTATATCTAGCACCATATATCTAGCACCCACCAGCGAGGTAGTACCCTCCAGTACCAGGCACTAATTGTTGCCAGCCTCCTCAAGATACTAATATATGGAGACTCAAGCCCAAAAATTGAGAGAGGGACTCTGAGCCAACCCATTTCCTGATCTCTCTCATAACAAGCCCTGTCATTAGCCCTGCTTTCTTCTCTCCTTCTCCCTTCTTTGTGGAGAACACATGTTGTGAGGGTAATGGGCTTAGACCCCAGATGTATGACCTTGAATAAACTGCCTAACTTCTCTGAACCTCAGTCTTCCCATCTTAGAATGATGAATAGTATTATAATGGCACCTTCCTACATGTCATTTATTGAACACTTACTATGTGCCAAGCACAGTGCTCAGTGTTTTCCAACTTGTATCTCTTCTGTTACCACTCTCTTTTATTCTAACCTACCTCTGCTCTCTTCCTGAATTCCATTCCTGCCCCCTTGTCTTCTGCCTTTTACTTTCTTCTCCCTTTCCTTCCCATTAACTATCTCCCTACTCTTTTTGTCCTTTCTCCTTCTTGTTCCCTTCCCCTCTGAATTCCTTCTCTTGTCTTTCCCTTTTTCTTCTCTCTTTTCCCCACATTTCTCTGTCCTTGGCACTTGCAGCAGTATTACATCAATCCTCCACATCAGGACCATGATCTCAATCATAAAAAGACTGTGGTATTATCAACAGAGGTTTGGAAGTGCAATAAACTGGAGCTGGATCATGTCTGATGGTCAGCAGATCTTATTCAAAAATTCTCTAGGTTGAAAGACCTTGAAACAACACTGCCTTGGTCAGTTGACTTGTGATACTATCTTAAACACTTCCTCTTTCTAGCTGGTCTCCAGCCTGAATTGAATCTACTTTCTGTCCCCCTTCCCTTTTTCTCCAGGGCAGCCAAGATCTCTCTGAGATAGGGTGCTGGGCTTCCACCCAACCAGTATCAGACCTGCTTAGCCATGGAGAAGGCTAGTGGTTTGGGGACCAAGGTATCAAACCACAGCCATCAAATCTAATCTAGGTCTTTTCCCTCACCACTTAAGTGGGTGTTAAATTACTTTTCCTTTCTCCACAAGATACAAAATCATTTTCTCTCTCTCTCTCTCTCTCTCTCTCTCTCTCTCTCTCACACACACACACACACACACACACACACACACATACACACACACATACACACATACACGTGATTTCTGAAGTGCTGAAAGCCAGGAAAACCAACTAGCAAGAAGATGCTGGATCTTCCTAGAGGCCTGCGATTGCCATGGACAGTCATAAAACAGAGAGGTTGTTCCCCCTGAGAAACCGTTCAAGCCTTGGCCACTTCCTTATTTAATTTATAGGTGATAATGTGATGATCTCTTGACAAGTCACTATAGTAAAAACAGCTCACATGTGTTTACAACTCTCGAACTGTGATAAGGAACCACCATTATCTGAGGGAGCAGGCTCCCCTTCGAGGTACATTTAGATTGGACATTTGGAAACACTTCCTGGCTAATTTGATAAACATTGGAACTCACTTTGTGAAGGGACAATGGGGAATCTCCTTCCCAGGAATTTTTTTTTTAAGTGACAAAATTTCTAGGAAGGGGAATGGAATTTATGCCAAGAGACAGGGGAATTGACAGGATAAATTACTGTGGTCACTTGGAAATCCTGGTGTCCTTATGTTAGGGGTTGATATATAAATCTTGTCTCCTAGAAATACTCTGTGTTGGGATGCCTGGGAGGCAGGTTCTGGCTTTGGTTGTAGGAGGGATATTAGAACTGTAGTCAGGGAGACCATATGCCTGGCCCATTGTGTTCATTTGGTTAGGCTTTTCTGTCTCTGTCTCAGGAAACAGAGAGACACAGGGACCTGGAAATTCCATCTGCTAACCCATATCCTGACCAGGGAAGATGAGTAGTTACGAGGATGTCGGGATTTGGGGGAGGGTGGTGGACAAAAACAACCTTGTTCCTTGTCAGTGAAGCACCAGCAAGAGAAACAACGAGCTCTTCTTGGAGAACCTGTGGAGGGGAGGGCAACCAAAGACATTCCCTCTGAGCTTATTGTTAAGCCTTCCCTTACTCCTTTCCTTTCGCCATCTGTTTCCTCTACAGATACCGTATGCACAAGTCCCGGATGTACAGCCAGTGTGTCCGAATGAGGCACCTCTCTCAAGAATTTGGATGGCTCCAGATCACCCCCCAGGAATTTTTGTGCATGAAGGCACTGCTGCTGTTCAGCATTAGTAAGTGCCTGGAGAGACAAAAAATGCTGCTGGGGTCACAGGGGCTCAGAAGGGAGCTACTTTTTCCATTAAAGATTTATAAAGGAGAAGCCAGCTCCTAGGCATTTCCCTTCTTCATTCACCCTCCCTCTTCCGCTCTCTCTTAGCATCCTATTTTTTTTTTTTCCTACCAGGTATGAATTTCATGCCTATAGACTATTTTCTTTGCTAGAAGTCAATATCTGTTAGATCCCCAGCTACCTCCAGTCTCTCGTTGGAACAAGGCTTTTGCAGCTGGCTGTAACAGGTCTCTGAACTTGTCCATAGTTTCTACCATAGAAACAGGCAAAGACCACATTATATTTGTTGCAGAGAGAAGGGATTGCCTCCTGGAAAGAATTTCCTCTTCTGCCAACAGTAGGAAGTCTGTGTAAGCAACTCAGATAGGGCTTATTAGGCAGCCAAGTAATCTTTCTTTAATGTCTCTTCTAAGCAGAGTGCTGTCCTAGCCCCCATGAAGGAAAAAGGAAGCCAAATTTGATACTCAAAACTGTGTATTTTAATTGTCTAAATCAGAGCTGGACTGTGACAGTGTAAAACCACCAGTCATAAGAAATAAATAGACGAGAAGACTAGAAAAAGGAAAGTCTTAGTAAATTTTATTTACTCTATGCCCTTCAGATTGTGTTCAGTTAGCCTTTTGTCTAGAACTTTCTGGCAGGCTGAAGGACCTAGGCATACAGACTTCAAATGACAGGAAACTGAGTAAATGGTTCCCTCCCTGTGGGGTGGGGGTCAAGTTTGTGGTCAGAAAACTTGATGCTTTATCTAATGCTCCTTTGTGGGCATGCTTCCCCTCCCCCATTCTGTCTTCACCCCACATCAGTTCCAGTGGATGGGCTGAAAAATCAAAAATTCTTTGATGAACTTCGAATGAACTACATCAAGGAACTTGATCGTATCATTGCTTGCAAGAGAAAAAATCCCACATCCTGCTCAAGGCGCTTCTACCAGCTCACCAAGCTCCTGGACTCTGTGCAACCTGTAAGCAAATGATGGAGGGTGCTTCATCAGGGAGAAGCAACTTGATAGATCTAAGTGATCATATGCTCCTCTAGGATCTGGCACCACCTGTTGGGAGTTGCTTCCATTCTCCTCTGGCTTTGAGAGTGGTCCAGAGAGAAAATGCAATGGAGAAGAAAGGAACACAGGTCGCATTGTCCCTGGGTGTTATGAAAGAGGTGGAGGAGTTGAGAACAGAGCAGTTGGGACTCAGGGAAAGGGCTTAGAACAGATAAGTTCTCCAGGCAGACAAAACAGACCTGAATGTTTTTCCCCTGCTCCCTTGAATCATGTCTGTGTATTTGTGCACATGTGCGTGTATGGATTTGTGTGTTGAGGAAGAGAATGTGTGTGTGGGTGTGCACATGTGTGCATTCACGTGCATGTGCTCGGGAAGAGGAGCACACGGTCCTGAGTCAGAGAGCTTGCAATGATGTAGGAGATCACTTGGGAGCCCTCAGTAACTCCCTGGAGACCATTTAGTGTACATGTGTGCGAACACACACACATCCACAGGGAGGACAAAGGACAGGGAAGGAGGAAGAAATCAGAAGTGGGGGGAAGAGCCTGACAGAAGCCAGCTCCTTGTCAAGCCTGTTTTCTCCCTCTTATTGCTCCCCCTACAGATTGCACGAGAGCTGCATCAGTTCACTTTTGACCTGCTAATCAAGTCCCACATGGTGAGCGTGGACTTTCCAGAAATGATGGCAGAAATCATCTCTGTGCAAGTGCCCAAGATTCTTTCTGGGAAAGTCAAGCCCATCTATTTCCACACACAGTGAAGCTTTGGAAGCCCCCATTTTCTCACCCCACCCCACTCCCCTTTTCAGATATCTTCTGCCTGTTATAACTCTGCACTACTTCTCTGCAGTGCCTTGGGGAATTTCCTCTTTTGATGTACCGTCTGTCATGAAGATGTTCCTGAGTTCTATTTGCTGCACTTTTCCCCCTCTTTTCCTCCTTTCTCTTTTTTTCCCTTCCTATCTGACCCTCCCATGGCACTTTCAGACTCTGCTCCCTGCCATGGATGGCTCTTATCTGTGTTTTGAATGGTGTTGTATTTCTTTAAATCCGTGATGATCCTCATGTGGCCCAGTGTCAAGTTGTGCTTGTTTATAGCACTGCACTGTGTGCCAGCCACACAAACGTTTACTCACCTAATGCCACGGGAAGTTTAGAGAGCTGAGTATCTGGGAAAACAAAACAAACAACCCCCCTAAAACCAAAAGTCCTGTAGGGTTTTTTCCTCATAAAAAATATAAAACAAACAGAATCTCCCCCGACTCCCCAAAAGGCCAACAGTGACTAGAATAAGGTGAAAATTGCAAGCGCATGGAGAATCACTGCTTTTTTTTCCAAGTTCAGCCTCCCTGGGACACTTTATTTTCTGCCAATGGCTATTGCCATTAGAGGGCAGGATGACCCCAGAGATGAGTTAGGAGGGAGGAGACAGATTTAAGAGAGGACAAAGAGGACAGATGGATCACCAGTACCTGCCCACAGCCTTGGCCTCTGATGGCTAGACTCTTAACTGCAGTGCAAATCATTGTACTGAAAATATGCTTCTTGTTTGAAAATGTGTCTGCATGTGAACACCTCCCCTCCAGCCAGTCCTTTTTCTCACCCTCTGCCTCCACCCTCAAACTGACTTTCAATAAGCTTTTCTAAGAGCTTTGAACTGAATGTTCTCTTCAGCCAAAACTTGGCCACTTCCACTGAAGAATAAGACTAATAAGAAGGAAAGGAGAGATCTGACCCTTTGGAAGCCCTATCCAGAGCCAGGTCTGCTTTCCCATTTGTTCAGGGAAGAGGCTGGGGCCGGAGTAAGAGGAAAAAGAATCAATGGGTTGGTTGGTTGGTTGGTTGGTTGGTTTTCCTGCTTAGGGCGTTGAAGAGTTGATCACTCTTTGCCCTTATCTTTAAAAGACCTGAATGTTTTTTGCCTGACTCCATGCAGCTGCAAGCTCCCTCTTACCCTCCCTTCAGTGTTTTGTGGGCCTGGACTTCACCAGACCATATGACAGCCATGGTGGTGATGTTTGTCCATTTATTTGGGCATGTTCACAGACTCTCTGCTAAGAGCTGTTACCACCAAGAAGGCTAGCAAGCCAGCAGTTTTGACATCTATCTCTAGATGCCACTAGGCTCAAAGACTTCTTACCAAATGTCTTTCACCAACTATCAGATCTCTGAAGCCCTTGGACAAACTGGAAAGAAGGCATCGATGGGACTGGACAAGCTGGGCATCTTGCCCTTGTCCCCTAGAGATGACACCTTCTCACCAAGTGGAAAAATACCTACTTCTTCCTTCAGAGCAGCTAAAGGGGGCTATGCAGGTCAGGGTTAAAGAGAAAACTCAATTACCAGGGTGAGAAGAATGAAGGCAGTAGAACCAGAAACCCTGTAAATGCTGTCCTTGCCACCCAGCATTTCCATCTGCAGAAGTCATGGGAAGAATAGAGAAGAAACTAAGAGGAGACTGACTACTAAATTAAAGTCTTCAAAGGCAAAATCTAAAGCCAGATGGGCACCATCTGGTTGGTTTACTCATCATCCTCCTCTGCTGCTGATCCTGGGTTCTGACATCGGCCATACTCACGCAGAGCTCCCACCTTTTTTGCTGCCTCTCAGCCAGAGGGAAGCTGAAACATTTATACTACAGAACCATGACCTCCTTTGGAAAGGTCTGGTTTGCGTGGCTCCAGTGGGCTGCCATCCATGAACTCAGGGTGTGCTCCTGGGACACTGGTTTCATATGGTCCTTTGGCACACCTCTCTTTTGCTGACTTTGTCCCCCAGTCCTGAATTCAGGGGGAATGTCCGCCTACTTTCTCATCTTGGCAACTGCCTCCTTACTTAGCTCTTATATTCATCTGCTAAATTCAAGAAATTAGGGGCCAGTTACCAAGCTGCCCATTTCAGTTGATTCACTCTACTTGTTGAGAGGACAGTTTTTGAGTGACATGCTATTATCTACATGGGTTTCCTTCCCTGATTTCTGTGTTGATATTAATAGCCAAATGAACTTGCAAAACAGCTTCTTTAAATAACAAGGGACAGGGAACCTAAGATGGGTGATATACCAATCCAAGACTGCTGGACAAAACTAAAATTGACAGGTTCTCTTTCTGGGATAGGATAGACAAATTCTGGTTTTCTTCATTCGGACATCATGTGGCTTATATAAGCTCACAAGATTACTTCTGGCTGTTTTAAACAGAAAAAAAATCCATCACTCTTTTCAGTTATGCTAGGTTATAGTTTAATAGTTCCTTTACATCTGTTTTAAAATTATTTTCATCTTTTATGGTACATCAACTTGATTATATCATTCTAATATCTCTCCTTGTAAATACTAGATGCTCTCCTTTTTATTTCTCTGACTACCAAATTTTTCACCTTTATGGATTTCCCAATTGTGACTCTTGTCTTTATGAATATATATGTTTTGCATTTGTAAAAGCCAAAAATCAGTGAAACAGCAGTGTAGTTACAAACAGCAACAACTAACTACTCTGAATTTCTGAATGGCAAGACTAGGGAAAAACAGCCTAAACAAGGCTTTAGGCCTAGTATTTCTGTTGGGGTTTCAGTGAGTGAAGGAGATTTTAGCATGGCTTTGTTCTCCCACGGATAAAAGGGGGATTTTTTTTTCTTTTAGTCATTGATGTTCTTGCCAGTGTAATTGACAGAAGTCTCATTTTGCATGCATTCTGCTGTACAAACAGTTGATGTGGTTGGTACACTGTGCTTATCCGTGAACGATCGGCCACCTAGACCCACTCACCTGGTGAGCTGAAAGATGAGGATCATTCACCAGACAAGTCATGGTAACTACCTCCGAAGAGGTTTGCAGTGCTCAATGCGGATGGAGTGAGGAAGAGAAAACGAAGGAGCACCAGGAACAAGGCCCCATCTGTGCTAGATGACAGACAGCCGCCAGAGTCACAAATTCTGTGACCAAAGAAAAAAGTCCTGTGGCAGTTTCAGCTCTTGTTCAATGAGCAGCTCTCCCAGGCCTGGCCTCTGAGCTGAAACGGGTTGTGTTCTTTGTTCCATAACTTTTCTGTGCCACAGACAGTATCATTGTTCTTGGATAGTTCATTATTTTTCTAATGAGAATGCAATTTTTTGAAGGATTCTGTCATATATCTTTGAAAAAGAAAATCAGTAATTCACATATTTTTATGTATGTTCACTGGCACTAAAACAGAAGGGAAAAAAGCTTTTTTCTGTCCTTTGGATAGTTGCTGAGGTGATTCCAGGTGAGAAATAATGTGCTTATGCTAGAGTCCCTCTCTGTCCACATTCTACTTCTAAATACTTAAAGGCTTATGTAGCAAGAAGTATTCTATTTACACTTTAAGACAAAGTAGTTTCATCATCCACATGATGGTAACACTACACGAATGATCTAACTTTGAGCTCTAAACAAACTTCTGTTTGTTTATTTCATTAGCCACAGCACAGATATGGTCTTGCCCTCTTTTCTCTTTTGATATTCTGCAGGGCTCAAAAGCCGAAGCCACTTCCCTCTACCCCTTTCCATCCCTGTTCCAGGGTTGCACTTCATGAGACTCTCCAGACAGCCCTGTAACTATCCCTGCATGGCTCTGGGGAGACAATAGGCTGACTACTAATTATCTTGTGCCAGTTGCCCAGGTGAGAAGGCACTAGCCCAAAAGAGTGGCCTTTGTGCTCAACCCCCTGTAAGGGGTTATGACAACCAGGAATACTAAAGAACAGGATCAAATCCCAAACTTAAAGTCAAATAAGCCATTTAGCATTTAGCTTGTAAAAGGAAGTTTCTGCCCCTGCTGCCTTTTATAGGCAGGTCTGTTTCTCACCACTAATCTCTTTGAAAATCTTTGAAAGCAGTTAAAAAAAAAAAAGACAAAGAGATGAAAGCATCACATTATGTAACCAAAGATTACACTGTATCTGCTAAGATACCAAAATTTAAGAGCAGGGAGGGAACAAGCATTAGTGCCTCTTTGGTGAACTACCCAAAGACAGACTAAAGGACTTTGTTGTTGACTGACTTATAAGAGTTTTGTGGGTTTTCCCCCCAACAATATACATGCTTAGAAAAGTGGAAGATAATTTTGAAAAAACTGGGTTTATAGGTCCTTCACCACGTGATTTTATAAGCAGAACTAGCTTTCCTTTTCTCTAGTAGTCGCTGAGCAAATTCTTAAAGCTCCATTATTGCATGGTTGGAAATGGAGCTGTCTTGGCCACTGTGTTTGCTAGTGTCCATGTTTGCATATCTGAAGATGTGAAGCCCTTGATGAGAAGGGGAGCATTTAAAGGACTAGATTTTGCACTAAAGGGACAGCAGGCAGAAATATTCATTTCTGCCCACTTTGGGTGGCACAAAAAGTTCTCTTGGGTTTAAGGCAGAAGGTTGAAATATATTGTAAATGAGTATTTGTATCCATGTTTTGAAATTGAATTATATATGTATAGATATAAAGTGTTCTGATAGCTTTATCTTTCTCTGCACCTTTATATTTGGTTCCAGGTCATAACTGATACCATGTACTTGTGAGAGAGGCTACAGTTACATTTTGGAAACTCTCTCAGAATGGAAAAGATACCTGGGTTGATCAGATAACTAAGAGATCTCTGTCTCTATTGGGGCCTTACCAGTAGGCCTAACGGAGGAGCAGAGGGGGAAAAGACTAGGGTACATGATGTATTGCACTTTACTAGCCCAAGACAGATGAATGTTTAAAGGGTGGTGAAGACTGATTGGAATCAACTGGGATTTCCCACAGAGAAGGCCCAGACTTGGGGCCAAAGACCCACCCAAATGATTAACCGATGGACCCCTAAAGGGACCTGAGGATTGGAAGGAGAAACATTCTTTGTTCTTCACCATCCTTGTGAGAAAAGGGTAGTTTCCTGCACTTGGGAACCTGGAGCAAGTGCTCCATCTTTTACACAATCCACTCACCTATGATTGAGGTGCTTTTGCTACTGGGTGTCTGTGTGCTCTAATTTTGCTTTTGGATGTGTTCTGTAAAGAGTTTGACAATGAAAATGTGTTTTTATCTGTCAAAAAATTGTCAGTGTACTAGAAGTTGTATCTCTATAGATGCAGGTCCATCTCTGCCCTTGGGTAGGGATGTTTTTCTTAATTAAGAAATTGACACTGGGGTCTGCTGCCCAGAGCCTCCCAACCTTAAACCATTTCTAGGTGAAGGCAGAAAATTCCACATTAGTCACTCCTCCTCCTCAGATGCTTAGGCTGAAGTAACAAACCGTTTGGAATGTCCCTGCCCCCAGAAATTAATGATAGGTATTTAAATTTAGCAGATAGACTTTTAAAGGGAAAAACAGCTTTGGACACAGTTTCGATTTATCCCCATTTGATTTAGCCAGAAAGTAGGTAGTATGCATTGATTGGTTACCAACCCCAATTCAGTATAAGAGGAGTCCTGATCCCTTTCCTTACCACACCTGTCTCTAGCCTTTTATGGAATTAAATGAGAAGCTGTGGACTGAGTAGCCCTTGTAGCCTGAAACAGTCCCCACCTGCACTAATTCATGAGGTTGGCTGTTCTATGGCTACAGATTCCACTGGCCACCCAAAACTGAAACACACATGTACCCCCAAAGGAAAGAAATTCCTAAAAAAAATTGCTGCTTTTCTTGTGGTGCCCTCCCTGGCGGCTGCTTTACATTTTGGGACTCTTTTCCCTGTACTGCATGCAGGCCAGGCCTGTAGTCTTTCCCAACCTTAGCCCTTGGTGCTAACTGTCCTGTAGTGAAGTGCCTGTGGGATTGTCCTATCTCATAAGTCACTCAGGTGCTGAGAGTAGCCACCATTGGCATAACCCAAGCTAGGAAAAAAAAAAAA